TTCAGAACAGATTTTTACTTCTTGTTGCCAACCTTGCTAGTCTTGACTCAGATATTGTCCTCCATAGTGTTATGCCTATCTTTACATTTATGGGTGCCAACACTATTCGTCAAGATGATGAATTCTCTGCTCATGTCATCCAGCAAACAATCACTCAGGTTATTCCTGCTTTGCTTTCCAATCAGAAGGAAAGCAACGTTGGTGATGTTGATTTTTTGCTGCTCAGTTTTGTGGCTGCTTTTGCCCACATCCCCCGACACAGACGTGTTAGACTCTTTAGCACTTTGGTTAAAACCCTTGGTTCTAGTTTTGCTTTGCACAGTTTGATTTTCCTGCTTGGTCAAAAGTATTTTGAAGCTAAACAGAAAAGAAAGTCTGTTGATGCTAAGTCATTGTTGCAATTTGCTGAGTCTTTCTTTAGAAGTTTTACCGTTTCTGAGCAGTTTTTCACTATCAGAAACTTCTTGGATCTCATCAAACTCATTCCTGTTCATGAGCTTACTGAAGAGGAACGCGAGGTTGGCTCTCCTTTCACTCGTAGACAAATTTTCAACTCTATTGTTGGCTACTCCACCTCTAATTTACTTTCATTGAAGTCCACATTGATTCAGTACCTGGCTTCTATTATTACCAACGAAAACATTATTTCTGACACTCCCTCGCTCCGTGTTACTACTGCTGTACTATTCAAAGAGGCTTCTGCTGAGCAGGAGGCTGTCAATGAGGTTTCGGTTGAAATTATTAAAAACACTCTTCAAACTCTTTCTGATCTTCGCAAGAGAGAAGACCGAGATGATCTTGTACTGGTCATTAACAGCTACCATCTCATTTTGGATTCTTTCTTGGAGTTATTGCCTATTAACACTTTTGTTAACGTCTTTCAGAACATTTTGTTGGTTTCTGACAACGAGAAGACTAGACAACAATCTGTTTTATTACTCAGGAGCAAATTTGAGCTTGAGTCTGCTGCTGATGAGGAAGCCAAGGCTGCTGCTTTCATTGCATTTTCTGTTCTTGTTGAGCTGGTCAGCCAAGACCTGTCTAAGGCTATTGTTCAACAGGCTTTCAACTCTTTGGAAGTCGTTGTTCTCAAACTTGGCAATGACTTTGAACCTAAACAGCTGCTTCAGTTGCTTGATCTAGTCGTTGGTCCTAAAGGTCTTCTTAACGGTGATGTCGAGATTCTTGTTTCTTCTGTTTCTGTCATCAGTAGTCTGTTTTCTGTTCTTGGTGCTAGAGCTATTGGATACTTTGGCAAGATTATTCCTGTTCTTTTCAAAAAATTTGAGGAATCTCTTCCTAAGGGTGATGAAAAACAAGAAGAACAAACCAAGGAAAATTCCGAACTTATTCAGCTTGCCACTTTTGGTTTGGTTGCTGGTCTTGTCAAACGCATTCCAGCTTTCATGAACTCTTCGCTTGTCAACATTTTCAAACTTATCTTCTTATCCAATGTATCTGTTGCCACTAGACAGACTCTTATCGAAAACGTTGCCAGCTCCATGGACGCCAAGGCTGTTTTGCAGGCTCTCACCCAAACCTGGACATATGCTGTCAACTCAGGTTGGAATGCGATTGCTTTGCACTTGGATTCTGTTGATAACGTTATTTCTTCTTCAGACAGAAAGACAGTGTCTTCTCAATCTGCCAACTTGGTTACTTTCCTTCTTAAGTCCTTTGAAGTCAGAGGACTAACTGAGAAATATGACCAGAACACCATTCATCGCATCGAGACTCGCACCATCAAGACAGGTATTCAAATTGTTATGAAATTGAATGACAAGACCTTCCGTCCTCTGTTTGTACGCATGGTTAGATGGGCTATTGAAGGAGAAGGATCTTCTGGTGCTTTGTCTGATGTTGCCCGGAAAACGGTTTTCTTCAAGTACCTAACCAAACTCTTTGGCAGCCTCAAGTCTATTATCACAAGCTACTTCAGTTATCTTGTTGACCCTGTTTGCAACATCCTTGAGCCTTTCTACAGCGAAAGTGCCAAGGAGATTTCTAAGGAAGACGCTAGCTTGAGAGTTTCTGTTCTTAACACATTGATTGTATCTTTCCAGTACGATCGTGAAGAGTTTTGGCAAGCACAGGCTAGATTTGACAAGATTGTGGTTGCTCTCATTGAACAGATTCCCACTATCGACGCAAACCATGGCAATGCACTTGTCAAGTCTATTGTTGGTCTGGCTGAGACTGTATCCTCACCTGAGCAGTACAAGGTCATTAACGACAAGGTTTTGGTTCACATGCAGGAGTCGTGCTCTGTTTCTGAGAAGATCTGGGCCGTTAGAACCATGAAGTCTCTCTTTGGTAAGCTAGGTGAAGAATGGGTTACAATGCTGCCTCAGCTTGTTCCTGTTTTGGCTGAACTTCTTGAAGACGATGACGAATCTGTTGAAATTGAAGTTAGAAAGAACTTAGTACCTGTTGTTGAAGACGTTCTTGGTGAAAGCCTCGATAGATACTTGGCCTAGAATTAATTATAAAAAAAATTGTTTAATGTCTGTTTAGTGTTATATATTTGTATTTAGAGTCAAAAAAAAGTTTTGTTTACATTAATCATTAAGATGGTTGTCTTGTAAGGTACTTCTAATAGAAAAGGAATTGCTCCCATATCCCAGGCCATTAAAATAATCGATAAAAAAACACTATTTATCTGTTATATTAAATGATGACTATTTACATGAGGATATTTTGTTGCTGGGGTATGTCGCTGGCAGCAATACCGATGCAGTGAACAAAAAAAAAAAAAACGTGATATAACAAAAAAAGAAGAAACAACTAAGATGTCATAGGCAAAGGAAATGAAAGAAAAGTCGTCGAAGTTATCAAAAGATCAGTCTATTAACCTTGTCTCTGCTTGTGCTTGGGGTTGGCCTTGCAATACACGTAAGTCCGACCTTTTCTTCTGACAGTCTAAAACAAATAAAAAAAAATTGTTAAAAATCAGAAAAAAAATCAAAAAAAAAAAGGTATTATCCTTATACTATGAAGATAACCCATGTTTTACATACGTAGCAAGCCTTGCAGAACTTCTTGACAGAAGACTTAACCTTCATGCCTCTCATCTGCTGCGAAACGCTGCTCAGGATGGTGTTGGCAACAGTAGGTCTAGTGAAAGTAGCAAAAGAAGTTCTAAGTAACGACCACATTTTGAAATGAAGAAATTATATCTTTTTATTTTTTTTCAGTTGAAGCTGCTGATCCTGGGTTGCGATGGGTTCCGAGGAAAGGTAGTGTTTTAAAAATTTTTTTTTGCTGAGATTGGTCGGAAATTTTTAAAACACACTTTTTTTTTCCAGTTGTAAAGGTACATAAACCCTTGCCCACAACATATCAATTTATACTAAATCACATGATACGTAAAATAATACAAAGCACTTGTGATGAAGGAAAAGACGTGGTGGTTTATTTATTTTGATTCAAATATCAAAGAAATTATCTGAGAAATATAAAGAGAAAATATTAAAAAAAAAGATCATGATATTTATCAAAATACTTTTGTATTAATGGCACTTTGAAATGCCTTTGAGTCTTATTACTTGAGTATTCCTCCTTTGCTTTGAACTTATCATTTATAAAAATTAAAAAAAATAGTAGTGAACATGAGTTGGAAAGGGTTTACTCGACAAATTGCGAGAGTAGGTGATCATTATTATTGTCTTTTTTTTTTTTTTTTTTTTTTTGAGAAAAAAACTAATAATAACAAATCTTTATAGGCTCCACAGAATGTTAAGCAAAAACTTCATGTAGTAAGATGCACCGCTCTTAAGCGCTGATATAAATAGTAATTTACTGACTTTTCAACAGGGCCAGACAACGCAAGACTTTGTGTATCAAGACTTTCATACACGAATCCTTGAACTTAAATCGGAGCTACAAAAGTTCAATTCAGAAATTAAAACTTATTTTTATTTTCTTGAACAGTTGTTTGAGCGACAAGTTGGGTTTGCTGAAGTTATGGTAGAAACCCAAATACTAGACTTATGCAACAGTTTAGACAATGAAGATCAAGTAGTTATAAAAACCATGGCATCGACCAAAAATCAGGTTCCTGAAATGCTGTATAAGCAATTTGCAGATGCGGTTAATCTGTCCCGCAAGATACTTGAACCAGAGATTGAAATGCTTCGCAACAAAATCATGAAACCTACTGTCGTTGTTCTGGCTAATATTGAGGCCATACACAAAGTGGAGAAAAAACGCCAACATAAAGTGTTAGATGTTGATCGCTACAAAGCTGCTCTTGCAAAGCTTTCGGCAAAACAACACGAGCGTTCTGCCTCAGAAGAGAAATCTTATTTTGTGACGCAAAATAATCTAGAGATTGCTGAGCAGGAATACAACTGGCTCAACACGTTACTTAAAAAGGAATTACCACTTTTTTTTGAACTTACCGATAAGTTGATTGAGTCGCTTTTTATCAGCATGTATTATGTCCAGCTGAATATTTATTATACATTAGGCAAAACGCTTGAAAGCTCAATGGCTAATAATACGGGAATACAAAATTGGAATCAAGGTAACAATGTGATTGCAGCATACAATTCCAAGTTTAATACCGTGCGGACCCGTGCTGAAAAAGAAATTGGTTTGCTTAAGTTTCGACGCTGTCAGTCTCAGACAAAGTTAAGTGCAGACACTGAAACAAAGTCTTTTGTTGCCAATTATGCTGCAGTGGTAACTGATGGGAATACCATAATGTCAAAAGATGTCCCCGAGTATTGTATAGCAATATACGATTATGAACCTCAAGCCGTGGGAGATCTACGTCTAATTCAGGGCGAGACTGTCGAAATTGTTGACCGAACTCAAAGTTGCAATGACTGGTGGTCAGGTAAAATCACAAGCACAGGCGAGACAGGTATTTTTCCTGCTAATTACGTTAAACTCAAATAGATAAACAAACAAAACATAAATATTAAAAAAGATTCTAACAACATCATTGTTTTTTTATCTTTCCAGTTCATTCTGTATGTTGAAAATATCAAAAAAATCGACATCAGCAGGATTCGAACCTGCGCGGGAAATCCCAAAAGATGCCTGAACATTAGAATTCAAGTCTTTCGCCTTAACCGCTCGGCCATAATGCCAATTTTTGAATTTTACTAAGTAAAGATTATAAAAGTAGTTTAAGAAAATCATTATAGCTGTAAACTGTTTTTTTTTTAAAGTTTTAGTAACGTCCTGGGACAACGTTGAAAGCATAAAATCCTTTAAAAAAACAAAATAATATTTTGGCAAATTTATATAATGGTATTTAGGCTATCAAACCTCACTCGGTTTACTAAAAAGGTGTCTCTCTTTGATCATCCTGTGGAGCGTAGCTTCTTAAGTGAAGTTTCTCCGGAACTTGATCTGAGAGTCCTGCTTAATACCAAGAAGGGTCTTGGAGCGGTAGTCAAGTTCTTGAACTCATTACCGCAACTTCTTTGCTGATGGTTTGCTTGA